ACAGTCATGCATGGAATAAATAAAGCTTTAACACATCATTCATAAGAACTCATGTCAAGAAAATCTATGTTCAACAATATTGTGAATTTCAATATTTGAAAAATGATATGGCGTTCTAACAATAATTTGATTTCATACATGTTTGAAAATATTTTGGTGGGACTGAATACAAATGCTGGTTGCTACAGCAATCCTTTAGCCCTTGGCATGCTATAGTTAAATCCTAGCTAGCTTGGTACTTGTGAGCATCATACTCATGCCTGTTATTTGTCAGCTTAGCAATCAGGCTTGGTACTCGTGAGCATCATACTCATGCTATGGTTAGCACTCATGCTTGTTAATACATATATGATTCATATATTTATATATAATTTTTGTGGCCTATGAGGTATGAGTTTCTAATTTGCTTTCAAATAGATATCCCTATTAAATTCCTGAATTATGTCATTAGTACATATTCTCTTTATTTCTTTTGGTTTTAAATTGGAATATTATTCACTAGAAAAAATTTGACCTCAAATAATAGCAAGAATTGAATCTCTTGTTGATCATTGAGGGAATTTATCTAGAAAAGTTTCTTTGGACAAATATCAACTTGATCTAAATGTGAGTTTATGTATTGTTTTTATAGTTTGCTTCATGTGCTCCACATTAACTAGATAGAATCATGAACTATAATTTATATTTTTTTATTATGAGGAAGTAGATCAAAGCTCCATATTACTTATTTGGTTTTGTAAATGGTTGTTGTAGAGATTTAGAAGGTCCTATTTATATGGAAAGTTTTGTTAAAATTTCTATAGAATGGTTGGAGTTATTTTGTTTATATGAAGTGTTGAATGATTTCTAAACATATTTCAAATGCAATAAGATACTAAATTAGAGTTTTCCTTGATGAAGGCTTAAGGACTGTATATTTTTGCATATATCCTATGCCGGTCACATCTAAGTTTTAGAGTATGACACCAATTCAGTAGATAATGAGGATGAATCTATTCTCATCATTGGGTTGAGCAACTTGCAAAGAATATAGTTGTGCCTTCTGTGCCACAAACCAAAACCAATCCCTTTACCTATCTAAAATCTCAACTAACACTTCCCACTACACAATCTGTCACAAAAACTTTTGTGAGAAAGAAGAATCAACAAAAAACCAAACCCATAGACCTATTCCTAGGAAACTTAACTATATGGACATTGAAGAAGCTAATATTCCCTAAGAGATAGGAGTTGAGACTACTGTGGACCAAGAAAAGGAGAAGGATATTGGATTATTTGACAAAGGGAAAGAAGTTTATGTAAGATCAAGCAACTGCACCCAGAAGGGGTGAATTAGGTGTTTAAGCAAATTTTCAAGCTAAATAGAAACTTTTGCGAAATTTAACTAAAATGAAGGTGCAACAAGAAGTTTAACGAAAAACAAAATAGAGTGAATTCCAAATACTTCTATTCCAAGGTTTATCAAAACACTTAAAAAAAGGTATAAGTTAAGTTTCCAAACTTAAGTGTATGAATAGATTGAAATTAGGAAGAGCTTGTGAAATACTGATTTATTCACAACTTCTTTTAAAATAAGGAAATGAATCAGTTTAATCAAAATGAAGTTCTTGAGATAAATAAATCACTCAAAAACAATAACCAAGAGAGAGCAATATAAAGATGAGCTAGATATAAAGAGTAAAGGGATAAAGATACTGTACAAATGATTTATCTTGCTTTAGTCTAACCACTTGACCTATCTCTAGTCCTTAGAAGACCTCTAAGAATTCTTCACTATATACACAAGCTTTAGTGGGTGATTGCTACCATTGTACAAACCATAAGACTAAACCAATCTTGATTTTAGAAAACAACTTATAACACTTGTAAGAACAACCAACCACTTAGGAAAATCTCTCTTAAGATTTCTAAGACGTAAGAAAAATATTTTCAAATCAAGAACTGTCTAAAAGAGTGAATATGAATATAATGAAATCTTATAAGCCAGTTGAGAGCTTTTTCATATAATAATGAATGTAGAACCTAATTTAAGTGAGTGGGTAACAATTCTTTGACCATTAAGTGTCTTGCATCTTATTAACTTGAAGTCATTATTTGTGAAAAGGCTCTCAACTGGTTTATAAGCTTTCATTATATTCATATTCACTCATTTAGAGAGTTATCAATTTGAAAAGTTTTTTTTTTTACATCTTTGAAATCTTAGGAAAAATTTTCCAAAGTGGTTGGTTGTTCTTACAAGTACTATGGTAAGTTTTTTTTTTTTTAAATCAAGACTGGTGTTGTTTTGTGCTTTTTAATATGGTGGCAAATACCCAATTAAGCTTGTGGTTATAGTAAAAAATATCATGTGTGATTTTGGAAACTAGTATTAAGCTATGTGGTTGGGCTAAACTAGGATAAATATTTTTGTGTCAAGCTTTCTCATCTCTTAAACTCATCTATTTCATAAAATCTTTCTACACTTATTTGTTTCAAATTCATCTTCATTTTTGGGATGCAAAAAAGATTTGTGAAAATTTTAAAAACACCTAATTCACCCCGACTTAGGTGCTAGTGTTATCCAACTTGCCTATATCGAGTCACTAAGTTTACCCTTTGGGATTTTCCACTATATCCTCCAAGATTGATCTAGGCTCTTAGAAGCCTCAGTACAAATTAGGCTCTTCAAGTCTGTAATGCTTCCTCTTAATGAACTACCCACTTAAGTTCCTTGAACTTAAGTTACTTTGTTCTAAGGAAAGAAAATAGAGAAGATCACTAAGTGATCAAATTTACAACAAACTCTCAAAAGAGTATGTATAAAATCAATGAAGTTCACTTGCAATGAATGCAAAAGTAGAAGGTAGTTGAATGAATGGAAAATCACATATTGTGCAATAACTTCTCTGCTTCAATCTTTATAAATTAGTCCTTTTATATTGCCTTCGTGCCAAGTATTTGCTAGACTCATAAATGTACCCATTGACACTTGTTTCTCATTAATTAGACATTGAATGCTTTACCCAATGTTTATTGTTCGTGATGATGTTAAGTTTCCCATAAAAGATGGAGGAAAGAAGTTTTTTGACAAGGTTATGCGTCTTGGCTTAAAGCAAAAATACATTAAATGTTTTGGCATTATTATTGTTAAAGCAAAACTTCAAAATATTTGAAGATCTTTGAAATATTAAAACTTAAGAAGTTTTTGGATCAAAGAAATTAAACTTGTTAAAGTGTTAATCCAAAGGTCAAGAGATGTTAACTGGATATAAATAAGTTTGGAATCAATAAAGAATAAGTTTAGAGTGATTAAGAAAAAAAATCAAGGTGAAAACTAGAAATTAGGAGAAAACTAATAAATTTGGCTCTTGAAGAAATTTTCAAGTTTTTTAGAAGAAATTTTGAAATCTTGTGAAAGCTTAATGAGCGAGGATCAAATACTTTGAAACATTAGAAATAATCTTGAAAAAATATCTTAAGTTTAAAAGAGAAGAGAATATTATGAAATATTGAACAAATTGTCAAGAGTCTTGTCTCACAAGTGGTGTGGAGTTTATAAGTATGAGAGGCTCTCCTACCCAATAGACAAATCTTTTAGGATAAGCTCTCCCTTTGAGTTTGTGCTTGATACATTGATACTTTCATTAAGAGATTGATGTCATAGAAAAACCTACATATGAAGAGTCCTAACTGGCAGGAGGCTGAGTGAAGTGTCATGGAGTGGAGTCATTAAGGATGTCAACTCTCAATAAGGTGGCATTGTCATGAGTTCCATATTAGGAGCCTCACAAGTGGTATGGAGTTTATAAGCGTGAGTGGCTCTCTCACCTAACAGGCTGGTATTATAGGATGAGCTCTCCCTTTGAGCTTGTGCTCATTGCATCAAACATCGGAGGATTGAAGTTCAAACAAGGGTAAGATGAAAATTTTTTAATTTTTTTAAAAAACTTTGAAGTATTAAGAAATTGTATCAAAAAGCATAGAAACTTTGAAATATTTGGCAAAAACTTCAAAGTAAATTAGTGATTATAAGAGAAAGTGAAAATACTTCAAAAAATCAGACAAAACTTAGAAATATTGAAGAATCAAATGACTGAAGCACGTATATTTCGAAATATTAGCACAAACTTAGAAAGATTTAACAGGAAAGCACAGAGAAACATCTTTCAAAATATCAAAAGAAAAAATTCACAAGTTTTGAAGTTTAGCAGAACAGAAACTTGGAAATATTTGAGCAAATATTTTGAAATATTGATGGAAGTTTGACAAAAATAAAAGTAAAGAGTTTTAACCCGTCAAACTTAACTTCTTTCCAACTTTCTAAGTAATTCAGACCTTTTGAACACAAAATCTTCTCTAACTTTATCATAATAAAAACAAGGGCATCATGATGAATGTACTTATCTACTATAATAGTCGGCAACAATTTCATGAAAACAGGGGAGACATTTCATGAAAGATGGAAGTCTTATAATGCTTTAGATATATAGTTTGCAATACACACACTCGCTCAATAATTATGATCATAATAATACACACATACATATATTCCTCAATAGAAGAAAACTGATTGAACATATATTATATTTTGATTTTTTTTCTCTTTAATGTTTTGTTATTATGACCCTCCAAAACATTACAGTCCTAAGTGCCAGATAATTTAATCAACTTAATTAAGGTTTAAATTAAAGAACCAAACAATTAATTAACTTATTGATTATATTTCATCTCCCTTTCCCACCTCTTTATTAATCAAGAGTAATAGAACATTAATATTTACGCACGCACCCCAATCTTACCTTTGCCACCAAGCTATTCCTGGACCACATTTCATCTCTTTTATTTATGAAGAAAACAATCATTCATGCAATTATTGTAGCATAAAGCTAAAAAAGAATGACTATTACCTCCCCCAATTTTCTAAAAGATACATAGCAAAAAGCAATTATAATAGCAAAGAGAAAAATAATTTGATTTGCAATTACTATAGCTAAGAGAAATAGATTTTTATTTCCTCACAACTTTCTAACCAATATTGAACAACAAACACAAGAACTTGAACATTTAACAAGAAGGAAAAAAAGATAAAAAAAATGTATATAGAAGAGAAATTTTGAAGCATACATAGAAGATATAGCTTCTATGAGTGACGGTTTCTAACCCTTCTCCTCCTTTTCTTTATAGGTGGATCATCCACTAAACTTGCAAGCCTTTGAGGTTTACCAGTAAATATCACAACCCAACATATTGTTGATCCAAATAAGGCTCCACATGCATACCCTAGCAAGACAGGTTTCCATCCAAATTCAAATCTAGCTTCAAAACCTGAACTTTGTAATGGTGGTTGTCTTTCCCTATTAGGAATGCAAGGAATCATTAGTTGAAAACCATGCAATTGCATGTTTCCTTCAAAGGAATCACTCGTGAAAGTCTCAAATTGTTGGCCCCTAGGAATGCAACCTTCACGCTTGTTTCATGAAAGGTTTAAGATAGATAGGAAGTTGAGACTAGTTAACTCAGTGGGAATTTTCCCAATAAGCTTATTTGATGACAAATCCAACCACTCCAAATTTATCAAATTTCCTATGGAATTTGGAATTACACCGATGAGCCTATTATGAGAAAAATTGAGCCCCTTCAATGCTTTAAGCTGCCCAATAGATATTGGAATTTCTCCCTCAAACATGTTATTAGATAGATCAATGCATATGAAAACAGTCAAGATCTTCTCCATATAAATGTCAAGTCCTTTCAAGATTACCTCAATGGAGTCCTGATATGTGACAATGTGATCAGATTGATTGTAACCCATGTATTCTAAACCAGTTTTTCCCTCTTGATTTTTCATAGCATCAAAAGATTTGAAGTATGTTGTAGGTAAAGGGCCACTTAAGTTGTTGTTGGATATATCGAAGACTCTCAACTTTGTAAAGGCATAATCAGCTTTGTTGTTTAAATTAGGGATAAAACCATGTAACTTATTCTCTCTAAGAACAAGCACTTTCAATTCTTTAAGGTCTTGAAGCCAATGTGGAAATGTATCATGAATGCCATTTCTACCAATATCTAAGACTTCTAAATTTTTGCAATGGACCAAAGATTGAGGCAACAGCCCATATAGAAGATTGTCATTAAGATTTAGGGTCCTCAACTTGTTTCCCACCTCAAATGATTTTGGTATGGTGCCATAAAAGCTATTGCTTTGCAAATCCAACACATAAAGTGCAGGGCTAGAACTTCCAATACAATGCGGAATTGGGCCACTGAAGTTGTTGCGGGACAAGTTGAGAACTTCAAGTGAGCTAGCATTGCAAATTGAAGAAGGGAGCTCTCCTTGAAGTAAGTTGGAACTCAAGTCAATGAAACGCATGTTTGCTGAAGAGAAGTGATCGAGTTGCATTCTTCCTATGGGAAAGTTGTGAGAAAGGTTCAAAGATAGGGTTAGTTATGAGGAAAAAAAAAATTACACAATCTCCCCTAAAAATTTTACTTGCTTCCTCTAAAAAAATTCATTTTTTCCTACTCAAAACAAATTTGTTTGACCTCAATTTTAAAAACCTAAAACACATATACTTGAAAATTTCATTTTCTACTATATTGATAATAAAAAATTATTGTTCTTTACTAGTCTATTTAATAAATTTTATTTTAAATTAATGAAATACATATTTTATGTTGTTGGCAAGATACAACCAACTTAAAATTTTCAGTAGGCAAAGTTCATATATATAATGGACCCTTGCAATTTGTTGTTGCTAATTAAGGCCAAAATGTTGAGGGCTTTGTAATTTGTTAATTTCTAAGGCTAAATGATCTTTTGAAAAACAACAGACATATAAAAGGTAATATTGTTTGCATATGATGTACGTGTATACTACAAGTATCTCAGTATGATTCCAAAAAGTTTAGCATTTGTGTTATGCTAAATAATCTCTGCATAGATATTGGGAAAGGAAAAAACAAATTTCTTCCAACCATCAAATTACTTGCCTTCTTAGAATTGTAGGTATATTAAGAATTTATTTAACTATATCTGACCACAAAAACATCCTCATAAAAAAGAATTTAACTATCTAATTTTTTGTGCATTTCCAATTAATATGTTTGGAAAATATGTATAGCTAGAGTAAGAAATTCTTTGGTACTCTCAGATCTTAGAACACTCTGTTCTACTTCAGCAGATAAAGGCTCCACATCATACATAATGAGTCTATGTTTGTATACATATGCATACTTTGTCTCTTCTTTTAACTTTAACTTTATATCTTTTTTCATAATTTTTAAATTCAAATAAAAATTATTTTGTGAATTTTTTTAATTTGAATATCTTTATTTAATTTCACAAATCATAATGGAACGAGTAGCACAGTTCCTCTTTAAACCGAAATGATATACTTATAAGGATAGTTGTAAGATAGGTTTATGTATTGTTTTTGTTTTGATTTTGAATATAATTATTAGAGTGTGTAACTTGGTTTTGAAAATTAGTAAAGAGAAAATTCATATCCAACTCCTTATAATTTCAGCTCATTTTTAATTAAGTCCTTATAATTTTTCCCTTTTTATTAGGTCCTTATTTTCCTAAGTTATAAACAGAAACATATCCTTCACAAATTTGAGTACAAAATATGGTTGAACTAGCGTTTGGAGTTCTATTTTCTGACCCCCAAAAGAAAAGTTCAATTTAAAATTTTATTGAAATCCAAAATTGTAATTTTTAGAAAATAATTTATATACTTTTATAGAACCTGAGTGGCTACATGCACTAATGGTTCTCCTCCCCCCCCCCCACGTCCATTAATTTAAGGATCATTGATTAAACTTAGTTGAGCCAATTATAATTAATTTACTAATTTAAATAATATATAAATTATAAAATAAATCCCCATTCTCTCCTTTCTTCCCCATTCTCTTCCATTCTTTCCTCTTTCTAACTATTAGACCAGGATTTAAACGATTCTTATTTGATTTCTTATAAAATTATTATTAAAATATTAAATTACAAAAAATAATAAAATTCAAACTATGTACTAAAATTTAATAAGAACAATTTAAAAATACAATAACAGTAAAATGAAATGAAATGTTTCGAAGGAGATTAAATTTGGATTATTCATAATCTGGATCCAATGGTTAGAAATTAAAAAGAGGAGGGGAAGAAGATGGGAAGGAAGAGGAGATAATCATCTCCCCTTTTTATGATGAAAAATGCTAGGAAATATATGTCTGTAGGTCCTTATAATTTTTTCCACTTTTAAATTAGATTCTTGCATTTTATTTTATTTTAATCATGTTCTTATAGTTTGATCTATTAGATTTTTTTAATCCCAAATTCCCGCTAAGAGAGGTGCCAATAATCTTTTCACATTCAGTACCTAATATCATATTTTGAATAGGATTATCTCCAATAGGAGCATACTTACGATCAATCAAAAAAATCCTTTATTTTTTTAAAACAAAATTTAGAACTTTTATATTTTATTAGAATGTTATATAACTTTACAATTAATTACATAATTATTGTAACTCAAAAATTTATATAATTAAGTTGTCTTATAAATAATTTTTTATATATAGAATTTTTAATAAAATTAATAAAAATGTAATGAGTGTCATAAATCAAATTTTCTCTTTTTATTTTGAAAAATTTTAGATCAAATTTTCTATAAATTTCAAAACTTTTTTTTTTTGAAAAATTTAATAATCCATTATTATTTTCAACGTTAAGGGATTAACATATCTAATGTATCAAACTATAAGCATTTGATTAAAACAAAATAAACTATAGGAATTGCATTTAAAATGGGAAAAATGATAATTTGGTCCCCCAAAATGCCATAATTTTATTTAAGTGTCAATAAATTTAAAAGTGAAAAGACCAATTTTATTTAAGGGTAAAATAGTCTTTTCAATTTAAAATTTATTGGCACAAAAATATCCAAGGACTTTAGTAGAATTATGACATTTTGAGAGACCTAATTTTTATTTATATAATTCTAGTGGATTTTATTATAATTCCCCCATTTAAAACTGAGAAAAACTACAAGGACTTATAGATTAATTTTCTCAAAATTCAATGTTATTGTTTAAGAGAAATGGATTTTGTTAAACCTATCAAGTATGCTATAGTTTTTACTTTAAAGAAATTTCAGTTATAAATTTTATAAAAAATTAATATATATAGAATAAGCATAAATAATAAATGAAAATTTCGTTAAAACATATAAAATTAAGAGACAAAATTAAGAGATTAGATTGGATGTACCTGTAAAGAAATTGTGTTACAGAAATAAATCTACCAACCTCGTCCCGTTGAAAGGAATGGGTCCACTCAAATGATTTGATCCCAAATCTAAGATTTGAAGTTTAACAAGATTTCCTATTTCCTTGGGTATAAAACCTGGAAACACAAAAATTGATACGTAATAACATTTTTATAACAGAATGAACTTCATAAAACGTAATATTTTAATGCAACATAAAAAAGTACACATATCTTACTAATTCCAAAAACATTAATATTTATGTTATGCTAGAAATAATTCTTCAAATTGTTTTTCAATAACAATCATAATTCTTAAAAGTAGCAATGTTAATGAGAGATGATGGAATTTTGTCTACTTCAATTAAAAAATAAACAGCATATAATTTACATTAGAGTAGGCTAATAGTTATAAGACTTTGATTGATTTTTAAACAAATTTTTATTTTTATTTTAAAATTAATTATTTTTATTTTATCAAAAATATAAAATATACTTTTTGGGATACTTAAAAAATGTAGAAGACTCATTTTTAAAAAAAAATTTGTGGGTCATAAAGTTTGAAACTCAGGATTAAAATGCATTTCAAACATTGTTTTGATATATTTTACAAACTAAAAATAATAAAAATATAACAATGTAAATATTTGAATTTTTTTAGAAAACATATATAATAATGTATTCAAATATACGGTATCTTAGTATACAACGACTTAAAACTTAAAGGATTAATTGATATTTTAATATATTTTTAAAAATGTAAATTTTTGTTTAATTTTTTCAAGCCTATTTGATCCAATCTGACTAGGCTTGAACCCTAAAAAAATTATTTTTCTAAGCCCATTCTAAAATTTTTTTAAGTTTATTTAGGCTAGCCCATCAAGTTTGGCTCAAGTTACTAGCTTTAGCTGTGAGAGACTAGCCCCTTCCGTTAGACTCAATCCCATTGAGATTATAAAGTTAATTTTAATGGGAGAGAGATAAAATTTGGGAAAAATATTAGTCCAATACTTGTAGGCCATTGGGAAAGCGATGAGAGTGGGCTAGGATGGGAAAATTTATTTTAAACATTAAAAAAATAATTTAAAATTTTATAAATAATTACATACATAATAAAATTTTTCTATGATGTTTTTATGTTTTGGAATCATTCAACAATTAACTTATTATCTGTTGCCAATTTTTGGTGAAGGGGTCAAAGTGCCATGACCCTTTAGGTGTTCGAGTGTGCCAAGGATGCTAGAGGAGTGTGTCCTCAAAATAGTAAGTCATAATCAAATGATTGTGATTCCCAAGGTCTTTTACCACAATTTCCTTGGTGAGTCAAGTGACTTGCAAAAATAATAACGGTCTGTGCTGTGAAAGCGTGTAAAGCTTGGCGGTATTACTTGAAAAAAAAAAGTAAATACAATGAAAGGTGTCATGAATATAGAGGAGTAGATGAGTTTATGAAAATAGCCTAAGGAATTGAGTATACACAGAGAAAGTGAGTCGTGCAAGACAAGGTTGAAGGTGATGCAAGATCAAAAATAGAGTACCGTACTGGGCACGTGTAGTGTGAATTTGGCAGAGTATTGAGAGTCCTCTAGTTACGTGCTCATTGCCTATTTATAGCAAAATGACAACAGCATGCTCCCTTTCAATTTTGATTTTAGCACCATTAGGAGCATATAATTATTCATGCCTCTAAGGATTCATTATGTGAGATAGTGGATGTGGGAGCACTGAGAATCTCGAATTGTGGAAAAGTAGGCACAACTTTATCAAAGCTTCCTTCAAAACACACAATCCCACTTATTTCTATAAAGTTAGACAATAAATAGGCTAAGTTCTCTTTCCTCTAGTTTGGGCCTTAGGATCCTTTATAACTAGACCTAACGCTCTGATTTTTGTTCAAATAACACCCCCCATATCGATGTAAAAGTGAGAAACACCTACTCACATATTAGTGTTTTAGGCCACATGTCATACTAGGATATGCATAGCTATTAAACCATGCACATTCCCTGAGCACTATCATTACTTCCTTCAACATTTCGCTTTGACTAGGGTTGCAGGACCTTGTTTAAAGCCTTAGACTCTTCAGCTCTCCTCTTTGCTCACTCTTCTTCTACTAACCTTAAGCTCTCAATGATTTACGTACCCTAATTTTTGTTGTGTTTTTTGCTTGAAAATGGCATCTTTCTCTTCTACTGTTGCCAATAAGGTAAGCTGAGTTCCACCTCCCTTACTTTGGCTTTAAGATCATTTTACTCTTTTTTTCCATTTATTGCAATTTTTGTTGTTGAATTGTATTGGTTTTACTTCTAGGGTTCGTGCTTGTTATCTTATCTATGACCTTATGTTCAATTCAAGTAAGAGCCTAAAATTTTTCCCTTTAACAGCTTTAAATTATCGGTCAAGTCATCTAGGTACCCTTTGTAAGGTATGATAGTTGTTTCCTCTTTTCTTCATTTCTAAGAGGCCCCATGCTCTTTTGCTCCAACCAACCCAGGGGGCTCTCGTTACCTATACCCTTACTTAAATTTAAAGGAGTCATTGGCTTACCCTCATCCTCTAACTCAATTGGGTGATTATCATGAAGCCAATAACTCTAGAAAAGATAAAGTGTTAGGCAAAAAATAATAAAGAAATCCATTATGTATAATAAGAGGAGTGTCTTAGCTCCGAATTCATTGCACAATAGTTGAAGCTAGGCACCTTGGGTCTCATAAACATAAGCTGCTTAGCTTCTATTAATAGTCTACTCCTATAGACTCTATCATGATTATTGTTCATGAAGCACTCTTGCTTCAGTTACCCCTTTGGCACCCTAACTATCATCCTCAAGGATATCTTTTATTGATGAGTTCACTTATTGTTGACCTATTCTTGTTATCAAACATCAATTATGCAGACAATTCTTTCCTTGATGTTCTACAGCTACTAAAGCCATCCAATGGATGCCAAATGTTGGTGACCTTATATCTAGAGTGTGACAAATTCCTTTCCGTTAAGGAGCACGTCTATTTCTTATGGGTCCTAGTGCCTAACTACATTATTTGTCCCCTCAATAGGAGACTAAATATGAAATTATTTCCTCTAGTCTTGTATCACTCTCTAAGATCCACTATAACCTTTGAAAGTTGCTTGACAAATTCCTTGAGGATTTATGGTTCTTACAACTCTTTTTGGTCCCCACAACTCTAGAGCCTAACCTATTTCCAAGCTACTCTTAACAATGCCAACCTATTTGCATGGTTGTGTGGAGCACGTCTCACTAGGTTAGCAAGGGATGCTAATAAGGACACTTTGTCCATGATTCTCTCTTTACAGATGCTACTTGACTACACCAAAGGTTGGAATGATTATTGTTTATATAAATATATGACGTGTCACACGTGTTGAGTTGTGGCAAGTCATGTGAATAATAGGTTATGGTCACATATCTAAAGGTAATGTGACAATGCACCTAGTATATGTGAGAAAAAAATGTTATTAAATGAGAAATCATTAGTTATGAAGTATGTGAGCATGTTTTAAGTACTTGGTTTCATATGCATATGCTTGGTTTATAATTGATTTATAACTGCATATGGTAGGTTTTATCTTGGTTTCTGAGTGGCTAGACTCACCCTTCCTATTTAATACTTTTCAAGCTCTAACTCTAGTGCAAAGAGGGAGAAGGCTTAAGCGGCTAGGAATTAGCACATTCCTATCGTATGCCTCTAGCTCAGATTTATTGTGTAATAGTATATAAATGTCAATTCTAGGTTGCATGCCATCACACTTACATTATTTTGTTGTTGTAAATGTTTGAGTCATATTTTGAGCCTTGAGTATTTGTGTATGGTAATATATAATTGTTGATAGAGCTAAAATACTAGTGCAAGTATAGAAATAATATTTTAGATAGATTATAATAATTTTTGATGCAATGCAATGACATTTTGCCTCCCTTCTATTTTTGGTAAAAAGAGGTTAAGGAGTGAATTTTTATTATACTATTGTCTAAGTACGTGTGACATGTTGTACGGGTAGTCCTAGGTCTAATGGATATGGTCAGGTGTTAGGAAAGGCTTTTGGAACTTGTTGAGGGTTTTGGACACCCTTTTTGTGTGAAATTTGTGAAAAGTGGTTAAAATGTGTTTGGGTGGTTAAAATGTGTTTGGGTGTCCAACTTCCTAATGTGACTTGTGTTGGAAGTAAAACCCATACCACTAACTAGTTCATGTAAAAAGCTTTCTGTAGACACCTAGATTGTGTCTTTTGGATGTCAGACGAAGAGTTGGGATATGCTAAAAATTTCCTAACTTTGCTGTCAAATGATAACAGAATTTGCTGATATTTTCATGTAACATGCCGCGGCGTATGGTGCCTAAGCCATAATGAGTAGTACAAAGAGATACATGCTGTGACATAGCATGCACAAGTGGCAACACATTGCCCTGTCACACAGCAAAAGAGTTGTTTTTCACTTGTTTTCAATTTCTTTCACTCCTCTAAGGTATCCCATGCTTCCATAACTTATTTTTACTCTGATATAAGAGTTTATGATTGTTTTTTAAACTTGTTCTGATTAAGAAAACTTAGGATCCCTTGAATTTGAACTGAAACTTGGTAATCACTCTTCCTTTAATTACCATTAACTTTATTGGTTAATGGTATATTGTAGAGTGAGATTTTACAACTGTCATGTAGAGGTTGGGCCCTTAGACATGTACTTTTCTAGTTGGTATGAGCAATAATATCCTAGTATAATCTACAGATCCTTTCATAATATAATGACTTCCTTTATCGTTGGGTGTCTTTAGAGAACTTTATTTTGATTGTTCTTTTTATCAAGTTTCAAATCTAACCTTTATCTCTAGGCTACATTTAAGAGAGCCTTATACTGTCTAGCCAATCCAATCCCTCCCAATAGCAATCCTTTCATTAATGAATTTAGGCTAACTTTGGAAGAGGTCATTATGGATTAATTGTTTGGTAGGCCTACTAATAGAGTTTGGGGAGATTCATCCTTATAAGAGGTTAGTAGTGACTAGGCAGAGGAGTAGGATGAATCAGATGTCTCCCTTGACCATAGTGCTCTTCAACAACCTATATAGGTGCCTTCATCTAGCACTGGTCCTTTAAAGAGTTTGAACTGTGGTCACTCA